TTTACCATGCCACATATTTCAGTCATGATGTTAACAGTGATGCATGAACTTAGAGCACACTGTACCACTCTGTAGACCTCACCAAGCCAGACAAATGTAGTGCCATTCTCTCCTTTTCCTATTCTCCTCCTTTTAATGCTCCATCAGCCTCTCATTCTGTCACTTCCTCTCTCTTACTCACATTTCTCAATAAACTTCCACATCTCTCTGCTGTCCAGACGGACAGAGGAATGCGTGCACCACTGGGGTCGCCGCATGGACACTATATGAGTAACATGCCGGACAGGGGGTGGGGGGGCTGACTTATTCAGCAGTGGAGTCTGGCTGGACTTTTTTGCCCATGTTTGGCGAGAGGAAATGAGTGCTGTGTGCTGTGGGGACGTCTCTGAGTTCCCCGCTCCGACACAGACAGAGAGGTAGACAGGGAGACAGGCTAAAAATAGCACTGGAAGCCCAGGTCAGCTTTGAGCCTAGAGCAAGAAGTTGGGGGGCTGAGGGGGGAAGGGAGTAAAAACACATGATGTAAAATGAAATGAACAGAAAGAAGCTTGTGGAAAGGTAGATGTAATGAAAATACACCCCTGATAGAGGGTAGAGCATGAAATACGTATTCAAAAGAAGCAATGTTAAAATCACAGGTCTTGACAAATGTTTCATGAGAGTTGGTGGGACCACTGGGGATGTGTGTGTAATATGTGGAAGAGGAAGAGCAAGAGAAAAAGAAGCAGATGAATGATCTGATGGAGAGCTTAATCTGGGCAGTGAAATCTATTGGGAGCTCCCAGCCTCTCATCCATTTTCTCATATCTTTCTCTTCATGCGCAGTTTATCATATCGCAACAGCGTGCATAACCACAAATCTCTCATATCTCCCCCACTGGCAAAGATTGAATGAATAAATGACCTCTGAGCCCACATGATCTTCCTGTCAGGGAGACACAGAGGGTAGGAAGTAGAGAGTCGAGGGAGAAAAGATGAGAATGAGATATTGCTTCAGTTTGTGAAAGAGGTATGTTGTGCTACAGGATTTAAAGTAGGAGGGAAAGAAATATGTGTTGTAGGAGACGGGGGTCAGAATAATGAATTTAGAGTAGTAATGATGGTGAGATATCAACAGAATATATGGAGAGAGTAGGGATGGTTAAGTGAACAAGGAATATGAGAAATGGTTATTGGTTCTGGGGCCCAAAATATATTCACATATCTCATTCATATTTTCTTACTTTATAACAATGCACAAGTACAGCGAAATGCAGTCCCTGAGAGCATCAAAACAAAATTGCGAGAGAGATTACAAGGGAAGAGAATCTCTTTAGAAATGTCGATACAAGAGAAGTGTGTACATTGTACAAGTATTTCCCGCATATTACCACACTGAGATGGTTCACAGTTTAGGCTGGTGTAGTGAAACGCCTGGATAAGTGAAAACAAGGCCTTATCCAGCACAGCTCACCATCTGCTTCTGTTATGTTCATCTTGAAATGGTAGAGTGCTGCATGTTTGGAGGTATTACAGAAGCATGTGCTTGTGTTTGAGTGTGCATATCTGTGATTATATACTTTACATATGCCTTTGTCTTTGTATACTCTGAGATAAATGGCTGTTTATTTGTTTCATAGCTGCATTAAGTGGCTGGCTTTGGTAATGATGCACAGATTTGTCATTGTTCATTACTTGAAAAAGTTGCTGTTTCAGATCATGCCATCATTGTTTTTCCTTCTCTTTGACTCACCCTCTCCCCTTTTCATGCCCCTCACTCCCCTTAATGATGGCCTCTTTCTCTACATATATAAATGTCTCTTCTCTTCTCTTCTCTTCTCTTCTCTTCTCTTCTCTTCTCTTCTCCACCCTCTGTCCCTCCCTCTCTCAGAGCTGAGGTCATAGCTGGCTGAGTTTAGAGGTGGGCTGGAGTAAAGACATAAGAGAGTCTGTTTTTCTCATCAGTCAGTGTAGCTCTCAAGAAACCTACTTGTGTGAAGGAATGGGGGTCTATCTTCTCTGTTAGTTAGGAAAGTTTTTTTTTTTACTACAACAGTTTAATGGCTGCTACTACAACTGCATTACAAAGCTAATCCAGTGGTGCAGATAAAAAGAGAGAGAGTAAAAGACATCCAGTTGGCATCCAGTAAGCTTACTTAGCTGTGGCATACCATAGGTCAGCTATAGAAGAGTTTAAAAACTGCTTTGGATTCACTGTCTTGCTCGAAAACACTTCAGCAGGGAATACACTTGTAATGTGAGCTTGAACCTTAACCATCTGCACAATTTGTATAGAGGGGGAACTGACCCACCACACTCAATACACCAAACTGCTGGCATGTACAGATTATCAATCAGTGGTTTACCACAGGGTTTGACATTAGCCTCTATTACACTAAATAACAGTGTAGTAGAAGCACAGTTTAAAAAACATCTAACATCCAGAACTGTGAACTTTTGCAGCCCTTCTCATCAAAAGATAATCCATTCATTTCATGTCAGCAACAAGAATGTATTACATCCTGTGGCGTATTCACTGAACCAAAGAAATACTGTAATAGCAGATTTCATTTAAATTTCAACCATGTGGATAATCTTTTTCATAAAACCATTGCAGGAATGAACAGTCCTTAAAATGAGATTCAAAAAAAGTAGAAAAAGGATGGTATTTTGATCCCCTCAATAAACTTTATTGTGCCAGTTCATTTTGGAGATATGTGCTCTTCCTTAAGGCAGACAAGAGGAGAGAGATGAATCTTCCAAATGCTTTAGCGTAATCAGGTTTATTAAAGGGGTCAGGTCTGGACCCTATGTATGCTCCTCTAACACGGATTTAATAGATTTTAACCATTTCTGATTTTGGTTGCTTTTTTAAATCATTGCATGTGTAAACCCATTGGCCTTGTTAGTATCCAAGACAGGGATTAAGTAAAGTCCTGAGGAGAAAAATGCTTGAAAATAGGATCTTTCCAAACTCCATCTAAGCAAAAGCTCTGGCAGAACAAAGAGTCTCCTACAGCACAGTGTATCCTCGTGTGCAAGCCTGTTCCCTGTGGGTGGAGAATTTGCACATGCAATTAAGACTCCTTCAGAGTCACAATGACCTTTGACCTTGACTGCTTGTGAATGGTGACCTTTAGGAATGTCTTATGGACCAAGGATCAGTAAATCTGGATTGGTGTCTAAGCTCTGGATGCTGGTAAAGCTAATGAGGGAGCGGAGTGCGTTTTTTCTATTAGTTATTGTTCCAAGACTAATCCCTGAACAGATATATGAATGATCTGGGTGACACAAGGCTCATGTTATGCTGGAGAGTCCCAGAGAAGGTTCCCATGAACAAAATCTTTTTTAATAATACTTGGTTTTGCTTGATGACAAGATCAATATACAGTAAACACTTGTCAGCATTATCAGTGAATAAGAAAATGAAAGAGCAGTGTCAGCCTGCCTCCTCACACATGCCAGGCCAACATGCAGCTTGCTCAATAGGGCGTACAATATGGTTATTGTCTCCTCAGCACACTCACTCACACACACATACTGACTGACTTTTGTCGCTCTTTGTTCTCTTTGGACACACAGAGACTTGTTGTATCAGGAAAAACTAACAGAGTGATTCAGAGATGCTAACGGAGTTAGCTGGCTTGTTGGCAGCCTCTATGCCAAACCACTGCTGTTTTTACTGTAGATTTTTAAAAAAGTAATCTAAAATATTTTAAACTAATACTTTCTCTTTTTCTCTGTGTCTCTGGGTCTCATTCTCACTGTCTCTCACTCACTCCCTCCTCCCGACACACATCCACTAACACACACACAGACTAACCTTTGGCCCATTGTAATAGCTGCTCATGGCCTTATGCTCTCGCTACCCAGCTCCAGATGTTATTGACACACCCCCAGGAGTCCTACAGAGAGAAATTTACACAGACACACAGGCAGACACAGCCACGTGCACATATGTGTGCACACAGAGACACATGCACAGTCCTTTAAAGCTTGGACAGTTCTTCTCTCTGCACGCAACCTCGTAAAGTGACCTATACTCAGACACACATTTACCCCCAGTTGTGCTTCAAAGACACACATGAATCAGAATTATGTTATAAGCATGTCATGTCCAATCACGTTTGGGAATCATTTTGGACTTTAAACTAGTCGAGTAGACAACGTCCATGAAGATGCATAGCCCAATAAGTAGCAAAGTAAGAATCCCATTTATCTTTTAGTTTGTTTCTTTTGGGTTGATCATGCGGTCACACGTCTCTGTCTTTGCCCAACAAAGCTAACATATACTGATATGTATTGAAATCCATCTCTAAACAATCGGTCTGCACTTAGTTTGTTCAGCAGTAGAGTTGTATCTCAGTTGTCTCATGGAAACACATCATGTTGAGTTGCCACAGTGACCTGCAGTTTCACTGACTGAAGGGTGCGGTAGGACAGGTTTTCACCTGCAAATGTCAAAAACCCTGTCGTTGTGAACAGCACTGGCTGCATTTATTTCACATTCAGGAGCCAACCGTCTCAGAGGCAAACACTATGAATGAAGGTCATTGTGCTGCTGAGTGCCTTTCTGTTTTACACATGTACTTTAAAGGCCTTTGGGAAACAAGGGCAGGAGAAAAAAGTGAACAAGTGCATGTGTCACAGTTGAAGAGAATTCATTTTTGTTGGTGCATTGTAGAGATGCTTCGCACTGTAGGGAAGCCTTTTACGGTTTAGACAAGTATGTGCAGTAAAACATCTGGCTATGCATGTGTGCGTGTCTGTGTGTGTCCCTTGTGCACAATAAAAGACTGAACACATGGTGTACCCAGCTGTCTACATGCTTGGATATGAAAGTTTTGGATGATCCTTTACTCTTGGGCATACAAAAATCAAACAAGTAATCGTCTAGTCTAGTTTTAAGTAATTAACCTGTGTTTTCTTTTATTCTTTTCTAACACTAAAGACATTACAAGTCTAACGTATCTTTATAACCCCTCAGCAGCTGACCTTTCTGTGTGTCTGTATGTCCACAGGGCAATATTCGCATATGATGGAATTACCAACAAGCTCAAACTGGCTGACTCAGGAGGTAAGGTGGACTGTCATATGCCTCTTGTATTGAGAGAATATTGTAATGTTTTTACAATTTTCTGCTGATAGAAACTGTAGCATATTTTTGTCTCGATTTTCTGTTATTCCCCTCAATTTCCTCCCCATCTCTGTCTCTTTTCTAACAGCGGGTGGTGTGGCAGAGCTGGCAGGGAAGTTTCACATCTCCAAGCCTCAATATGGACTGTGCAAAGTGGGAAGTATGGAGACAGGAGCCCCCCGGATTGCTATGATCAGCTGGGTGAGTGGCAGACGGGCTCATGGGGCTTAGCTCATGTAAGCATGAGCTTATGTTAAAGAAACACACATACCAGCATAAATTACCAAAACACACATACATGCTTTGCACATACTTATGATAATGGCAGGTACACACACACAAAGGTTTGCATTTGTTTAGATAAGGCAAAGTCATTGGAGAAAATCTTAAGCCACTTGGCTTATTCACATTGTATGGTCCTGTTTTGACACAGGCTTATTTGGCATCTGACATGTGGGAAAATGTGTGTGAGAATGTGTTATTACGTAATTGTATTACAAAAGCTTATGAATCACAGGGCATGCAGAATGTGCAATAGCCCTCAAATGATCATTGGGGTTCATATTTGATCATTTTCAGACAGTTGTGTAACACTTAAATGACTCATCTACTATCGAAATGTTTTTTTAGTTGTTGTTTTTTAACAAGGAGTTAAACAGGCAGATTGCTAGTGCCCCGATTGGTTGAACCCCCACCTTTTCCACAGCATAGATAAAAGCTCATGCATAATCATAGAAAGCCAGATATAGTATATACACATATGCCTGGTCATAAATGAGTCCAAGAAACAGATGCTGGGGTTTACAATGTTGCTGTCTGCACTCAATTATGGCTTAAAACTGGATAAAAATGTCAGTTTATGATGGAGCTTCTGTCGGACATAGACCACCCAGTTTCATGCACGATTCACATAGTAAAACTACCCATACACATGTATTATTCACATACTATGTTTAGAAATACACAAGATAAAGCTGCATTCTATGATGATATGCTGTAAATATACCTCATAATAACTTAATATTTGAGCTTAAATGTTTTCAGCGAGTCATCTATCCAAATTATCTATTTTATGAAACACTGATTAGACTCAACTACAGAAATGTGAATCCCATTGTTCCTCAGCCTCTCTTCCTCCTCTTTTTTTAGTCTCCTCCGAGAGAGGTATGATATGAATGTAAGTGTCTACATCCTGTGTTTGTCTGCAGGTCGGCCAACATGTGGAGGACTACCGAAAGACAGAATGTGCCAGCCACATTCCAGCCATCAAAAACTTCTTCAAGGTGCAGTAGATCAAGATGTGCTTCTTCACTTAACACTAACCTTTGGAACTGGCATGTGCTAATATGAACTTCATCCAGTAGTCCTTTTATTTGGTTTCCGCTCTAAACTGTGCTTTATTTAAGCTGTGACAGTTTTCACATTGAAGAGGGACAGACGCTGTAGAGTACATAAAAACACTGTAAACATAATAACGGCACTCTTTATTTTCCCAAATCCCTGCTATAGAGAATACGTTGTGTCCTGTTCTATTTTCTTTATCCTTGGACTCTAGACTTTGCGCTCCCAAACTCTATATTTACACACAGTAGTTTACTTTGTATTGTTTTGAGAGTTTCCTGTCCTCAGTCCACTTCCTGTTCTATTGCAGTGTCGTGTGTTAGACTGGTCCATCTGCCGTGTTGCTACTGGGGGAGAATAGCTGAGTTTGAGTGAAACTCAAGTGGTGATAGGTGAGACAGGTAGTAGAGCGAATAGAGAATAGAAACTGTCAGTGTATTTTTATGATTCAGGTGCAAGTGTGTATTTTTGAAAATATGTGTTCAGTTTATGAGACACTCTATCCATCACCATGCTGGAACTTCTCTTCTCCATCTGTGCCCCTCAAATTGTGATTATTTAGTTTCAATCTAACTTGGAGAGGTTCAGCTGACCCCTAGGTTTACTAGTTTCCATATAAAGGCATCACCCAGTCAACTGCAGAAGCATCTGTGGAATGTTTGTTGTTTTTTGTCTTTTTTTTTAAACAGTGAATGTCGATTCTGGGATTTTGTGAACCACTGTATGAAAACCCCTAACCCCTCTATGAGACTGTGTGTCTGTGTGTGTGTGTGTGTGTGTGTGTGTGTGTGTGTGTGTGTGTGTGTGTGTGTGTGTGTGTGTGTGTCTGTGTGTGAGCACCCTTGGGCCTCTGGACATTTTGCATGTGGGATTCCAAAATTGTAGAGAAACATTTACATGGTCAATATGGCATGGAGTAAAGAAAATCGTATCTCCATCTGTAATTGTGGGAGAATTGTGACCTCTAACCTTAGCAAACACACACATTTCACGGCCAGACCTGCATCATGTCAATGAAATTAACCTGTGGTCACTACTGTGACCGCTAACCCACTTCTCTGTGAACATGATAAAACAGGGAACAGAAACAATTTATTTTAAATAAGGACCAAACAGTCTGACAGTAAGAATTAGAAATTGAATTTAAGTTTGATTTTCCATTGCTCAGCAGTTCAAATTTTGATTGATTAGTCAGTTCAAACTAAAAGAGAACATACCGTAAAGCATATGGATTGCATTTGTATATCCTGACCTAAAGACTATGGTGATGATACATAATTGTGCTATTCCGTCTTCTGTTCATTCTAGCTTTGCCAGCAGACGTGACGTTTTTCACACTTGGCCACGTAATCGTCTTTAGTCACCTTTCCCATCATGTACATTGTCCATAAACAGAAATCTTTGAAAACTTCATATGCTGGAAAAGAATGATTTAAACATCACGGGAAGCTTGTAAAACAGCACAGCAGTCTGCCTCATACCTCTGTCTGGGAAATCATCTGGGGTTGGTGTGTGATAAATTCTTTAAAAAATGATTACTCAAACTGGTTTGTTTTATAGTTTCTATTTATCTTTAGTTGCCCAGGATTTGGGGATTTCACAGCCATCTGGCAAAAATTAAGTGACACAGTATGAAACTGAATATTTATACCAACTGATACCAGTGTTTATACTTGTGGAAATCTTAACAAGCACCAAATCTCCTCTATTGCATGTATCATACATTGATCCTGTGTCTTATCCATTAAAATTGAGCGGCAAAATAATGTTGATTTATTCATTAATAGCCACTTCATCGATTAGTCTATTAGCAAAAAAGGATCTCTAAGAAACTGTAGGTTGGACAAAACAAACAATTGTTTGTCGATTTACTGTTGTCCACAAAATAAACAGATGCCACAACCCTAAACAATCCTGAGATTCAGCTAAAATCCTATCTGACTTGCGATAACAAGACTACTGAGACATAGGCCAGCATTATGCCTATGTGTGTAATACACCCGTCGATCCACTGGAGGATACTGTTTCAGTGTCACATTTTGCCTCGCCTAGACGTGAAAAGTACATGAGTGTGTGAAGGTGCAGTACCAGCAGGGGGCGTTAATGATGGGAGCAATGGAAGAGCGTAGTAAGAGGAACAAGAACGCTCTGTTTTCACGCCTAGCCAAGGCAAAACAAGACACTGCCACCATGGACCGGCAGGTGTGTTAGACACTTTGGCGTGATGCCGAGCTGCAGCCTGGGCTCAATTTGCTTGTTTTCTTAGAATATTGGCTTTCATTGTCTTTGATACAGTTAGAATTTCACTTGGCACTTTAGATTGTTATTTGTTTCTTCCTTCTTTCTTTCCTACTTTTTTTTCACTTTGTCTCTGTCTTTCTGGCTTGCTATGCTGCATGTCCCAGCTGGCAGTGAGGGGGTTTTGTCAAGGCGAGTCTGCAGCAGTAGATTTGGGTATGTTACATACTGTACTCCGGTGTGGCCCTGCTAAAATATGAATAGGGTGCAGATGTTTCCATTGTTCTACATTTCCCTTGAAATAATAGGAGATTAAGGTTAAGTCCAAAAGGGCTATGTGGGTGTATGTGTGTGTTTGTGTGTGTCTGTGTGTGTGTGTGTGTGTGTGTGTTTGTGTGTGTGTGTGTGTGTGTGTGTGTGTGTGTGTGTGTGTGTGTGTGTGTGTAGGGGCATTAGATTAGTTGATACTGTGGGTGATATGCTGGAGGGGTTCAGAAGGTAGATGTAAAAGTATCTGATGTACAGTAGTCATATGTAAGAAATGGAAATGAAGACATAAAAGAAGTTGAATCTTTTCTAACTTTTAAACTTTCTTTTTTTTTTTTAACAAAGCTATCTTTAATTCATCAAACATATTACAACCCATATTTAGCCACATGACAGCCTGGCACAGGCCCAATGTCTTTTAAGGTGGAGCAGGAGATTTGGATTGCAACAAAGAACACTATTCTATTGTAAATAAGGAATAAAGCAACATGATCGGGTCAAGGGACTAAACCCTGAAGCACTTTAGATCATTCCAATCTGTCATCTCGCCCTGACACAACTTGAGAACAGTAGCTTTCATTTCATGTCAACCAGAAAAGCCCCCATTACTCCTTCTGTCTTATTTCAACTGAGGAGCTCTCATTACAAATGCAAATGCAAATATATTTTCTTAGCAACATAATACACTATGAATGTGTTATTGAATTTCATCTTGCTGTTCATGAATCAAGGTACCTTCCATTTTTCCATTTAAAGAAAAGTAGACATTTTCAGCAATGGTTAAGCTAAGACTGTAAATACAAAATCTAAATGCAGTCTCTACATCCAAATAATCCCATTTATCACAAGTACCCATCAGTCAACTGGGTCATAATGCATCTGGGGACACTTGAGTATCCCTACATCCACCTACTGCCTCTCACAGTTTGAACAACTCCTGAGTAAGAGAGAGACTGTATGAGTTGCAGTTTGGTTCCAGAGCAGACAGTCTGTGCAGAGTTGAGCACAATTATACCAAGCTGGTACTGTAACTCTCGACCTGTCACATCACCTTTCCTTGGGCTCCTTTTCCTTCCAGAGAGGTTATATTCTTATACCCATAGCCAGTTTTTCGTTGCCAAGGTCATCAATGCCAAGCATCCTCAGAAGATGGTTGCTTCACATGCCATATCCCACTTGGCTGTTATGAAAATATCTAGCACATGGACAGGGGGGATTTTGACACATTTGCCTAAATAGAGCAGCTTAGCACTGAAGCTATTTGTGAACTCAAATACAACAAATGAAATGCTAAGGCTTTCTGTTTGGCACTTGTGAATTCATTACATGTACACCAAAACATCTTATGGGGTTGAAACAGGTTGAAAATAAGAGGGAAAAGAACAATGACGGGAAGGTGTGAGACTGAGAGGACGGGGATTTATTTAACACACTGGCTTACATGTTAAAACATAAGGGGAAAAAATAGTTTGTGTTGATGACTCTCAGCCATGTTTTGTCACAAAGAAGGTGTGAGCTGTTATCTGTTTTATGTTAGTTTGTCAGTCTGCTAAAGGCACCTTCATACAGGTGTCTGAACTGTGCATGTTAATAATATCCATTTGCCATTTTCATAAGAACTACCATGAAGTACAGTGAGCACATTTCTTTTGAGGACGAGTGATACCATTGCTAATCCTGGCAGTTTTTCTTGTTCTTAATGAATTCCACTGCATGTGGATGCAGCGGTGGTGTCAGTATTGGGCAAACATAGTGATTTTCTGCACTTGCAGAACTGAACAGTGCACTATGCTACTGAGAGCTTTTCCTGTAGATTGTGGTTCTGTCTGTTTCCATGATTTTCCCAGCATCCCTGGCAGCACTGTGGACTGCTTGTCTGCTCTGTGTGTGTGCAGTTGGCAGTGACAACTAGAGTGATATGGATTATACACTGTACTGACATGTATTATAGGGCACATTGAATGCTCTGTTCAGTGTCAGTGTCAGTGTTGTCACTCAGATAAAGCTGTGGTTTCCTGTTGGAGGCTGACAGACCTGGCCCTCCATCAACAAGCCAGAACTTACTCTCCATGGAAATTATGCTGACGTCCTGGCCACATACAAATGCCTGTACATTATACATGCACAAGTTCAGCCCACATTTAACACCTATCCATCCCATAGAAATAGCAGCCGTGAAAAACTATGTTTTGGTCTGTGGTTGTTGAATATGATCTGTCTATTTTCATATTTCGGAATCTCCCTTAAGCTTGACTTCCAGGTATTGAGCAAATGTTTTTTTCTACCTTTTTGCAAAGACCCATGCTTATACACCCTCTTCTTCTCACTTTCCCTATTGCACTCCCTATTTTCTATTTTCCCATCTCCCCCCTCTGCTATCTAACAATCCAAACCAATGCATTCCTGTCCTCACACTGAAGCCAGGGAGTATTTTTGTTCTCTCTCAATTCTTATAACTGAAGTAGTTGCACAACTGTTTGGCTCCAAGTTTGCATAACTCCAAGTCAGACCAAGAGAAAACCACCAGCGGGATTGTGTGTACTTGTGTATGGATTTCTAGCCTTGTGTGTGATTGTGTGTGTGTGTGGCAACAGTACACCATGTAAGGGTGGATTAAATTCACATCTGCTTTACTCTACTTGCCATCTCTTTTTCATTCCCTGCCCTCCATGTTTCAGGAAGCACATGTGTTCATTAGTGCAGAGAAGGTTGAGGATGTGACAGAGGAGAACATAAGAACAGAGCTCAGCAAGGCCCAGGCACATACTCCTACACAGTGGGTGAGAAGGAGCTCCAGGTCTGCGGACAAGGAGGAATTAGTGGTGAGTCTCCTGCAATACTTCATTGGACCATCAGATGGAGACAGAGACTTTCAAAAGACATTGTAACAGATTGATTTGCAGGTCAAATCCTCAGTGGCATCAGTGTTTTACTTTGTCTTCCAGTATGTTTATTCAGTCATACTCCTAAAACTAATGAAATAATATGACATTTGAAAAGGTTTTAAGTTTCCTGAAAATTATACAATATAGTTCAGTGATATAAAAATGCCCCTGTAAGCAATATTGGAAAGTTTAAGCATTTGTTGCTCTGCATTCAATATTCTTTTGTTTTTCTTACAGGGCACAAACTACAGAAAAACTAATGCCGCAATGGAGATGAGACTAATAAACAGAGACTCCTTCTGGGCACGTGCAGAGGTATGCTAATGTATTCTCCTCTCTACTTGGTCACATTTGAGTGTCCAAAATGTTTTTAAGCCTGATGTTTGCTACCATCTACATTTGGAAAGCTATTGAGGTGATTTTTTTGTTTAAAAGTGAAATGTATAATATATTATCTCATTGTTTCCCATTGTGTGTGTGTCAGCGTGAAGAGGAAGAGAGGAAAGAAGAGGAGCGGAGAAGAACAGCAGAGGAGAGACGCCGCCTTGAAAAAGAAAGAGTTTTAAAAGAACGGAGGGATGCAGAAGAGAGAGATAGAAAGATGAACGAAAAGCTACAGATGATTGAGGAGCAGAGGTAGGAATAATGTCTGTCTCCTGTCAATAGTGCCCTCCAGTGGCCATATTTTGTATAGATTGGAAGAACAGAGTATATTCACATACACAGTAAATGCACTGTATTCTGAATAATGATTTTTGGATAACAATAATAAGTGTTGCTATTTTATTTCTTTTTCTGTCTTGCAGAAGAAAACAGGCAGCGCAAGAAGAAGAACTTCGCAGAAAAGAGAAATCAAGATGGGTGAGTTAAAAGATGTCTGTATCTTGGTAGAATTTCATAGTTTTTATAAAATGTCCTTTTGGCAAAAGTGGTAGAGCCATGTTTTTTTTAATGGTTTTTACCTAGTGCAAAATTGACTCTTTGGCCTTGGAGTTTGGTTTGACTGCCCTGAACTCAGTGACCCTGTGATAGATAGAACATATTCATGTATATAATTCTATTACTAATTAATAATTCAATTGACTCACTTCTGTTTTATGTCTGACATCACATTTCTTTCTTATAGACACATAAATAGATTGAAAAATCGGAACAGAAACAAAATCATAAAAACACAAAATTGGTCAAGGCTTAAAAAGCATAAAAGGCTGGAAAATATTCTAAAATATTCTAGTCATAAATCCCCTTTCAAAGAGAGAAAGACCAGAGAGGGCCCTTCTCTACACACAAGAAAATAAAAACAACAAAATAACTCAAAATAGAGTGTAAAAAAAACACAGCATACTGCATGAATATAATAAGATATAAAGTGAGTATCTACAAAATATACATAATAGAAATAATATACCAGAATACACAAAACATACAAAGCATTAAAAGATTTAATTTCAAACATAGGATAAAATACTATATGCATTTGTCAAGTATGCAAAGTTTTAAAAGTTTGACCTTTTTTTAAAATGCAATGAGATATATAAGTGAGTATAAAAACTGGAAAATTCACCACGTGCAGAGTTATTGAAGGAGCAGAACAGCACATTAAACATCCAACTGTAGGAACAGGAAGAAAACTGGAGTTTAAAATATGAAGTTTGACAACTACTTCTATTTATCTATCTTTGTAACCTATCTTATTGGCCCCACATGTGGTCAGAAATAAAATACAGAAGACAAATAATAAACAAACATGACTCACATTAAAAGATGGGTCAGCTATAGCTCAGGTGGTAGAAAGGGTTGTACATAAATCATGATAATGGTAGTTTCTTTCAATCTTTCAAATCAGTCTCTTTTTTCAACTGCCACATGATCATAACTTCACTTAAAAAAGTAAAATTAAATATAGAAAATACACAACAGAATGTTCATTGTGATGGATTACCTATCCCAATGAACTTTCAAGTCCCTGCAAAGTGAGTCACCAGACTGAAATTAACAGAAACCAATGGCCGCCTAAAAGGTAAGAAATCAATTACGGTATGATTTGGAAAATGTTTGGCAGTAATACAAAATGTGCTTAAAATAACATGCAAACCACTGTTTTTTAAATTACCCCAGACTGGCTATATCCTAGGAGTGTGATTACTCAAATAACTGTCACTTACTATTCTAAAAACAGGGAATGTAATTCACAATTTGAAACATGATAAACCAGATAAAAGCAACCTTTTCCAGAAGATTACAGTGAAGCTCTGTCCCTTTCTGTTGTCCAGGAAATACAGTATATTAATAATCTGTAGCTTGGTGCTTCTCACATCTACAGTATCTACTGTATCAGTGACAGAAACCCATACTGAAGAAACACACAAGAAACAAGTCATGCAATAATGGCAAAAAGGCTCATTGGGTGTAGAAGCAACCCATCCTGAATAATTGTCACCAAACTTCAGAAAAGGACAAATTTTTCCCAAGTGTGTACAACTGACCACTCACATTACAGGAGTAAAGACAGAAACTAGGAAGCTGAGAGTTGTGAGAAAGGACCGATTGACCTTGGGCTGTGTTAGGTCTGATTCTAAAACTGTAATTGTTTCTGAGGACAGTACTATATTATACCCGCAAGGGCCTCTCTTGTCGGCCACAGCATTTGCTGATGTCTAGAGAAGAATGCATTTACTGCTACATGAACAAAGTCAACAGTAGGCTGATTTAAGTCTACAGGGAACACTATTTATCCACTGCTGATCATTCTGTTTATAGTAAGATATTTAAGGGACATTTAATTTTACACCTGAAAACAAACAAATTAACCTGTCACTGAATCATGAGTCAAAGTCTGTGAATGGTTGCTACGCATATAAAGGGCTTAAAATAGCAAGACATGACAGACTTATTGGCATTTTGACATGCAGCTATAGAGTATGTTGAATATAACACTCCTTGGTTGTGGCTACCACGTTCAAAATGTGCAACAATACATATGATGTGTTTTGAAATTTTAGCTAATACACCAGATGTTACTATAAACTAGAATAAGAAAAAAATGTCTTGTCTTGTTTTGGAGATGAGCTGTATGTTTGCTAAGCTGAGCTTGGGTATTATGAGTGTAGACTGCCTACAGTATATTTATATTTGTGAGAGGTGAGGGTGTGTGTAGTAAGGGGTTTGCAGATGTCAGGGATGTCCAAAAGACTAAAAGTACATGCAAGGTATTGCTTTGTGTCAGCAGTGACTGGTGGTTGCCATATTTGGAATGAGCACTAATGTCTGTATCATTAATTAGGGCTAAATGTCAAAACACTCAAGTTTCATAAGTCTCAAGTGCTGTGTGAGCTGCTTTTAAGATATTTAAAGCATGTGTAAATATGATTATTACTGTGTTTTCACCGACAGGAGCAGCAGCAGAGGGAGCATGAGGAACACATGAGGGCTCGTCTTAGAAGGAGTGAATCCATAGAGAAAGCAGCAGTAAGTGAACCTTATATAAACTTAATGGCTAATATTGGATTAGCTCCAAAAATTTAACTAGCTAAGTCTGTTTAATCATTTCAATTTCTTGTCCATACTGTACGTTACTTGACCTGCAGGAGGCAGCAGTATTAGTGTCCCAACGCTCGATGAACCCTAGGGAATTCTTCAGGCAGCTTTCATCATCATCATCACAAAGTCCCACCAGCCCTGGATCCTCCCGCTCTGGTATGTGCTGTGCGTGAGCTTGAACAGAGTGATGCTACCATGTGTTTACTTGAAGGCCCAGATGTTGGAAGTTTTTGGATGTACAGTGTGTATTCTTCAGTTTCACGACTCACAGACTGTTTTCTTTCTCTCTAGGCAAACCGTTCAGACGATACCAGCGCAGCCTGACAGACACAGCCTTCATCTTCTCTAAAGCAGAAGAGAGCACGGCATCCTCCCCTCGCAGTTCTCCCTTGGTCTCCCCCTTCTCCCGAGCTCCTCCCTCCCCTATCTACCGTGCCATGTCTCCCCCCATGAGCCCTGACTTCCGGCCTGTCACCTCTCCACAAAGGCCCAGAGCCCCCATGTCACCGCCCACATCACCTTTTCGCCCTACCCCTCCAGTCTCAGCCCTGCCAAGCGTTCCACAAACTAACAACCAAGTTCAGGCTGTTGTTGAGCCCAAGCCCCAATCACCCACAGAACCTTCTGCACCTCCAGCCTCCCCTAGTCTCTTGGCTTCCTTGTCTACCAGTATGGTAAAAAGAAACCCTTCTCAGTCACATCAAGAGGCCCTACCTGCCTCTCCCCCAAGTACCCCAACCCAGCCAGAGCACTCAGCTTTCTGCTTCGAGCCAGTTTCAGCTCCCCAGGCACCAACAGCTCCTCTTCCAGAGAGACCACAGCCAAACACAGGTAGGGTGGAACCAGACACAAATAATTATATTGGGATCTGATTATACAATGTTGTCATATTTTTCCTTTTTTTAAGTAATCTTCAAAGAAGATCTCATTATTTAAAAAAATGCCTGTTCAGTGTAATGTGCAATGCGAAGAAGAGCATATTACCACAATTATTGCTCATATGTTTGCCAAAGACATTAACTGTCAGACATTAAATTGTGGTTGTTAAACATTTTTATTACAGTTTAAATTGACTTAGATGCTTCTGCCAAAAACTACACCACATACCCCAGACTGTGTAAAGCAGGCCAGGCACTATGAATCAATGGCCTGTTGAAATGACAGAGCTCAGAATATTTTTACAGTCCAGTCACAATTAAATATTCCTATAGTAACCGCATAGACTCTTTGTCATGCCAAGTGTAACTCTAATGTGCACCCAGAGAAATAGGCTTCTGGATTCTTTATAGTTTAGTTTTTGTACCCTAGACATACAACGTCATCATCTGCACATTTACAACACGTAAGCTTATCGATTGCACTGTTGTGTTTTTAATTCTATAATTTTCCAATCAACAGACCTCAACATAGCCACTCATGTGCAGACTGAGCTGGTCTCAGACATTGGCTACAAAGTACAGGCTGTACTGGTGGAGGAGGATGAGGAAGAGGATGTTGAGGAGCACGAGGAAGATGTGGCTGAAAGACAACCACAGCTGTGTGCTGTCAACACAGAACCAGTCCAGATTGAAGCAGAGGAGCAGAAGCAAGAGGAGGAAGAGGAAAAGGAGGAGGAGCAGGAGGAGCAGGAGAAGTACAAGGAGGAACAAGAGGAGGAGGAAAAGGAGGAAGAGCAGGAGGAGCAGGGGGAGCAGAAGGAGCAGGAGAAGGACAAGGAGGAGCAAGAGGAGGAGGAAAATAATGAGGAGCAGGAGAAGGACAAGGAGGAAGAGAAGGAGGGATTAAAACAAGATGCTGAGCCTGCATCAATGGAGCAGCCCGTGGAAGTGGTATGGGAGGAAGAGGAGGCAAAGGAAGATGGAGAAGAAAATGACCAATCAGAAGACAGTCAGGCCACTGCTGAGTCTGCTGAGGTACTGGAAAAAGAGGAAGAGTCAACAGTCACAGGTAGCCATCTTGTTCTTGTATCCTATTATTTGGACTTGACTTACAGTTTATAAGTAGTATTGTTACAGTGTCACAAACAGTGTATTTTTAAATGATGTACTGTAGCTCTCTAAAAGTTAAAAATACACCATTATAATTATTAATGACACTAATATGTTACAAAATGGCTAAATATTACAACAAAGTCATTATTTCAGATGCCGGACCAATTTGTCAAGAAATCAAACATGAGACTGTCATCCTGTCAACAAATGGCATCACAAATGGAGAGGACACACAGGAACAGAATGGCATAGGTTTGGCAACAAACCAGTTTAAACAATATTATACCATGTAGAATTATACATGGATTATACATTTATATATTAATTCTCTGTGCTGGTTGGACTGTGATGAATGCTTTTCCCATTGGTCTTCCTCAGAGCGATCTTTGAGTCCATCTGACACAGAACTCAGCTCACCGGAACTGGCTGTATGCTACGATCTTCATGGCACGGCAGCGGAGGATGACGTCATTGAGGATAAGGAACAGGAGATCTCAGAAAATGGACAAGAGGTATTGTATCTACACACACATATTGTACCAGTACAGCCTGTAGTCCAAGAATAGAAATCTGTTCTCAATTAAACCATTGACCAGAACCAACAACGTGTTAGTGTGTCTCTAATGAAAAAAATGGGTCACAAACATATTATTTCATTTTTAAAAAGCCTCTGTAATTTTCTAAATCAGTTGGTTTTCAGGAAATGTTACTCAGACAGGAGTATATATTTTATTTGTTAGGAACTATTTTCAGCAATGGCTAAATACACATTGTAGTTACTAATAAGTCAGCTAGCGCTGTAGTGGCGATCTGTATCTGTCTATTGAACACCCACACACACGCACTCACGCACACACACACGTACATGAACATCAGCACTAAAGCACTGTAGCACTGTAGCACTGTTGCACATTTGTTGTTGTTTATATCAGCTTTGTATCTTAATTTGTATGTGAACTCGGTATATATTTCATGTATCATGGCTGCACACAATGATTAACCAGTCATGGCCATGACAGTCTGTGATTGTTGTATTTGTCGTATTTGCCCACTACACTAATTAAGTTTCTCACGGAAAATAAAGATATTTGTGAGCATTTACAGCAGTGTATGTGGGATTTAAAACAAACTACAATGCAAATGTTCATAGTAATTAAAAAACATGACACCCAGGATAAAGGTGTTGCTCAGTGATGTGTTTTTAATAGTTTATGGACAACAATTGAGGTTTATGGCACAGAAGAATAAGATACAGCTTTGGCTACACAGGCAATACTTGTGAGTAAGATAATTCATGTATGGTTTTGGTCCTTCCGTGAGCTTTTTTGACAATAATAATAAATATAATGCCAGCCTTATCTTTTCAAATTAAAGTTCATATGAAGAAAGTTTCCATGAAAGTGATTACATTTTCTGTCTTCTGTGACGTGTGTGTTTCATGATTGCAGCCTTTATCCTAGTCCATTTTCCTCTTCACTTCAGGTTTTAGCCGAGCGACAAATGTGTGTCCGAGCTCTGTATGACTACCAAGCAGGTAAGCTGCCATTTAGAGGATAATCGCCACGCATGTGCGCATAAAGTGCCTCCACTTACAGTAATTACACTGTGATTAGTGGGTCTTCACCATGTTATCTTGCGGTTCCCACAGAGGACGAATCTGAGATCTCCTTTGAACCCGGTGACATCATCAGGGACGTGGAAACGGTGGACAAAGCCTGGTGGAGGGGGTGGAGCAAAGATGGCCGTCAAGGCCTGTTCCCTGCCAATTATGTGGAGACCATATAGGCAGACAGACACACACACACACACACACACACACACACACACACACACACACACACACACACACACACACACACACTCTCACACACCTATACATACACACACACACACACACACACACACACACACACACACACACACACACACACACACACCCCTCAGGGACACCATCTCCCCTCATGTTTGTTCATGTTTTTACCTTAATCCTCCCACTGAAGCTTTGTACTCTCTATTTTGTAGGAAGGATAAAGAACAATGTGACTCCCTGTTTTGTAGAAAGCATAAAGAAAAGTGTGACTCTCTATTTTGATGTTTTTTGAGAAAAACTAAATATTCTCACAAGTATGTGGAAATTACCCAGCCTCATTTTCTCGGATAAAATAGCGGAGACCTTTTCCTGGACCAAAATAACTTATTTCCTTTTGAGATATAGCAGGAATGTTGGTAGGAGGGATCAGATCACTGTGACAAATGATCACAAACTTGCTTTTCTTGTATGAAACACAAACAGATTTTTATAGTGTATAGTCGCCTGTTTGATCCCCACATATAACAAGCATTCCATTCTGCTCACCGTTTGCTTTGTGTGTTACTTTGCTATAAAAAAATAATTTTCTGCTCTTGACTGGTATATATAATCAAGATACATGTATCAGACATCATCTTATAATCATCTTCATGTATTTTCTGAGTTATTTTGTAGCACTGTATTTGTTTCTGACAGTCTCACAGCACATTTTAATTACCCAAACCAGAACAGCAGCATAACAAAAGGTAAACAAGCAGAGGAAAAAAGGCACTGTATCGACACCTGTACTTCTCTTTCACTCTTTAAAATGGGCTATCTTTTGTTCATATGGTATGTTTTTCCATACATTTTTATGTCTCATTTTAATTGTTCCTAGATTTTAAGAAATTAAAGCATTATGTCGACACATGGATGATATGGAAAAAAAGAAGCTTCCAATTATAAACTTCTGTAATATCTTAATACTCTACAGTGTATATAAGAATGTATAAAAAAAAAGTCAAAGATCTTCTCTTTTTCAATACTTGGCTTGTATGTTTGTATGCTTGTTTGATTGTATGTATGTTCTTTATATTTACTCCAAACTTACAAATATAGCATCTACAAACTCAACCTGCTTTAAAATGTCTCCTTCTTTATTTTTCACATTTAGAGTTTTCAACAACAGCAAAAAATATTTTTTGGAGTGTCCATATCTTCTATACCTTTGAAGTATTAATTTCTAGCATCTCCAATATTTTGTTGTGTTAATGAACACAGACTTTTGCTTGTTTTAAGATCAAATTTGTTTTTTTTTTAAGGGAAGCACAGTGTTTCTAAATAACAACAAATGCCCCATCAGACACTTATGTTGTACAGAAAAATAGAAACTAAGTAATGAGGTGTATTTGATATAATGATTTTAAATAAAGCAAATAATAAATAGCACACTTCAAACCATCAGGCAGTATTGGCACAGACACACAAAAGTTGACTCATAACTATAAGTGATCATAAGCAGGTGATTCGTTGTTTTAAAAAAAGAATAGCATCCATTTGATTTAATCTCATGTAAGAAGATTAATCTTTAAATGGTTTGTTTATTCCTTAATTAGAGCAGAAGATAATTTTCATTTCAGATTTTTAGCAAAACTTTTTCAATTAGTAAACTTTTTCTTATTTAACTTAACCTATGCATACATTGTTAAATGCACTAGTTAGAAGAAAAAAAAAGTTGTGACTTGTAGTCCTTCATTTGTACCTATAGGTGGAGACATTGCCTTTTCCAATTTGTCAGTGACAACATTATTGAGAGGGAGCTCACTAAAATGAACAGATTCCTCAGGACAAAAGGCAAAATATTTTGACAAGCAGAGAGGAGGCTCATTGTTACACACATTTCAGAAGTGGGATATCCAGACATGTCCAAAGCTAAAAATTGCTAATGCTGCTACACCTCAAACAGGATTTTCCCCTGGGTAATAATGATTGATTGAATATGACATTAATATTTCTTAACCATACACCTTTAATATTTCGTGGGGGGGCTAGGTTACGCTCTTGTAGTGCCAGTTCAATAACAGTGTTTGGCAGATGCGCCTCTGTTCTGAAATAGAGAGGTAATGTTTGACATGGGTCTCATCCTGCCTGAACTGATGCCTGTTGACAGACTGACTAAATCTATCCAGGAGACTATTCTGTTCAGGTTATCCCAGAAGGCTAATCATCAGTGATATGTGTGAAAAGGTGATGAGCCTCTTATGAAATAGTAATTGGGTTGCAAGGAGAAGACCGTGAAAAAGCTCAAATGAGCAAGATTGAGAGATAAAAATACTTAATTTAAGTTTGAAACCATTAAGGTTACTTAACATTAATCTTATAACGCCAAAGAGTAATTTTACATTGGTGTGCATGAGAAAGATAAACAGTCATAAAGTGAGAGAGGACATCTGTGCTCAGTGAATGTGAAGGCAAATTGGTCTCGACAGTTGTGTCCCCCCCCTTCTCTCACTTCACCATATCCCTGTTCCCATGGTCATCCCCACAACTCAAGAGATCCCTTGTCTCTTTAGATTACCCAGAGTGATAGGGAGACACTGGCTAATGTGCCAGTCAACTTTCCCTTCCCCTTCCCCTTTGTCTTTAGGCTGTTCTTCCTTCTGTGACCCTCATCAGTAACAAAACCCTTCGACTAGGGTGCTAAACTAACAGAGAAGACCCCCCTTCCCTCCTCCTGGCTTTCCCTTTATCTCTTATTTAACTGACAGACTCTATCTGACCGGTGGAGGACTGACAAGTGGGACGGCCGAGGTGAAGTGGCGGTAGGGAAGTGCCACTCATTGTAGTGTTATCAGCACAAAGGCCAACGACAGACACCTAATCTGACCTGGCTGCTGATAGCTCGTGGCTTATTGGCTGGGTTTCTGCTGGGAAGCAGATTCTGCCAAATGCTGAGATACATCGAAGGGGAGGATAAGCACAGACACACACAAATGTACACACATGAAACACACATTCATGTATACACACAAACTCAGACGCCCACTATTCTAAACTCCTGTTATGGAAGCAACCTCCTTCTCCTTGCCACTCCTCAACCCCTGCCTGTCATTGTCTAACTAATAGTTTGCTGCAACTTTTTGTGATTAATTATGTGTTTGGGAGAGGTGTCAGTTTACAGGAGACAAAAATCTTACCACAGCAGTCTTATAACTCTGTGTTCAGCCTTCCTTCTTTACTGTACTGTAGCTGCAAGCACCTGTGTGCAAGCGTGAGCGAATGGGACTTGTTTTCTTTTTGGCTCATTGTTCTGCAGAAGCAAACATGAAGGCCAGGGTCACCCCATCTGTACTCAAGGCTTTAGGTTACCTTACCAATATTTGTGCCAGAGGACTGCCCGGTTGGATCTTCCCCACTCCAAAGTGCTATGAAACATTCAGTGCCCACAGTGCTCTGCTTTCGTAAAGGCTTGGCAGCGCTCAGGCATGCAGTGCTATTCTTAAAACACTTAAGAAGCTCCAGTTTTTCTCTTCCCTTGCTGAAATAAAGATCTGTGTTTGTAAGCACCTGTCTGTAAGAGCACTCACTGAGAAAATGGGTCTCAATTTCTTTTTTACCTGAGGCAACATTTCATCCATTGGATCAAACATTACCCACTGGCAATAGAAACTCCACTGCAACCCTTGGTGGTGTATCAAAATGTGAATTCACCACTGATGCTGTTTGCTTGTGAGACGATCTCAAGGCTACAACTGTTATCTGGGAAGAATTTCTCTAAACTATTATGCTTCCTCAACATAAATCAGCTTTAGCTTGGTGATAATTCCATCTGGTATAAGTCTTGATTAAACCTTTGCTTTTAGACATCTCTCTTGTTCTTGACATTGTCATTTTTTTTTCTCCCTTTAAAGATAATCTTCAAAACCGCTGAAGAAGATAACGCCTCGGAAGCTCCTGATGGCTCCAGCCAAGATTTTACTGTCAGCATAGAAACTGGCCCATTAACTTCTGAAGCCCTCTTTGGCAAAGCTCCCTTTCCCCTCCATTGCCATCAAAAAGCTATTTCCCTCGGCCAGTCCCACACAACCCTAACAATGAACAGAGGATTAGAACATCTCTCTGTCTTGAAGCAAAAAAAGTAAAAATGGATTTTTAAAAAATCTCTTTTTACCAGTCATTGGTGAAGACTAGTTGGCAACGTTTCCTCCTTGGGATTTTTCCTGACATGATTCCCAAGAGGCGTTTTTGCTTTTACGATTCCTGTGCTTGCAATCAGCCAACATGTGGCATTGTGATACGATCATAGAGATTTTTTTTTTTTCAGTTCGTAAATGGTTAAGTCTTTCAGTCTATTGTGAAGGAATCTTCAAAGTGGTTGGAAACCACAGGGGAACATTGGTAGTTGTTAATTAATGCAACAAACTCTCTACAACTGCTTTATTTTCCTGATTCCTAAGATGAAAAAAAAAATCCTGCTTTGAGTCTAGCAACAGGCTCGTCCAAATCTGTTACCTCATCTTCAAGCCGTTATCCTGGACAATGAAATGCTGTTGTTCCTCTGAAACCATAAGTGATTTTTATTAACTCTGCTGTGGTTCCAGAAGAAATCTCTCTCTCTCTGGTTTAGGTTTATTGGATTTCAGTTCATACCGATCATTTATGTTTCCATTCAGTAAATTGACGTAAAATGTGTTATGCTAAAATGATCTTTTCTGGTCTTTATGACTATCATTGAATTTGAAAGAAATGGGAAACATGACAGAGGCTGTGGTAACCGCTGAAAGGCAACTAAAGCAAAATTGGCCAAGATAAATGATGGATAATGGGGTTTAAGCTTAAGATTTTCTAAATTGCTTTCAATCCAGTAAATTACTTGATTGAAATGTTTAAGATTGCTTGTGATTGTACACATTTTCATATTTGTTTAATAAGCAGCAGTAGTGAAAATTATATGAAGAATAGAGAAATATTGTCAAAGTAAATCATGACCTTAACCTGAAGACTAAATTGTTTTCAGAACAACAACATGTTAACATACAGTAAGCAAGGTCCTGGTGGTCAATAATGGGGTGAGCTGTCCCTTACACTAAAGACTATCAGGGGTGAAAGCCCCTGTCCTCCTGGTGATTCACACGCACATGCACTCTGGGTTTCACACACACTGCCTGTGGCAGCACAATCACTGCCAGATGCTGTGACTTTCTTTCAGACAATTCATTTCACAAGTACCTCTGAAGGAGCGATGCCGATGGTGGCATTAGAGGGAGACAAATGTACATAAGTGTGTGTGTGTGTGTGTGTGTGTGTGTGTGTGTGTGTGTGTGTGTGTGTGTGTGTGTGTGTTAGTGAATGATGGGGATATGCCGGTGGCAGTGCGTGAAAAGGACACATATGAGATCAGATAGAGTTGAGACTAATTCACAGCCTGGCCTGAGGACATTAAGCAGGATAAAGTGAGACATCTTTTCTCACACCATTTAGGCTAAGCCCATGGGGACACATTGTTTATTTCTTGGCTGAACTGCATGATTTCAGGCTATAAGTGTGGCTTTGAAGCACAGAAAAAACATGCCATCGTTGTATGTAGATGCAAAAAAGTCATTGCAACAATAACAAAGAAAGGCAAAAACTGTGTGTTTTAATGCAAATAAAATTGTGACCAATTCAAATTTTTACACCGTGCAATAAGACGTGTACAACAACTTGGTGCTTCACACTGCTGTTCCAATGATTGTGATGTTAACTGTGCAGATTTATAGTGGATGAGACACCCAGAGCCAGCCCTTGGCAGCCTAGGCACGGTGCCCGCCCCAGGGGAGGGGGATGATGGAGAGCAAACAGCTAATAATTAATACCATGATTACACAGGCTGCAACAACACAGGGAGACAAACCTTAACACACCCAGGCAGGGACCTGACCAAGACTGATAGCACAGGAGCATGCAAGTACACACACAGATGCACAAATATACAGACACAGGCCTGCACACACTGTGTCTGTCACACACACATTATAACAGCAACCAGGGGTAGCAGTCAGACAATTAATACCACAGTATCTAACATCACACAACGATCAATTAGAAAATGTGAAAGCCACACTGGTACATTAGAGGAATAAAAAACATTTTAT